GTGGGTTCCGACACCATGTCACAGTTCCTCGCCGAGGTGGTGTCGGACGCGATGGTGTCGTCGGCGGCGCGCCTCGGGGTGCGCGGCACCGCGCACATCGCCACCCCTTCCTACTTCGGGCTGCACTCCAACGGGTACGACCGCGACGGCGAGCAGCTCTGGTGAGGTGGCGACCCTCTGTCGCCGCCCGCGACTCGGCCCGCGACTGGTCTCGCTGCGCCGGCGCAGCCGCGCGTCGTACGACGGCAGCGGTCTCTCTCTCCAATGTGGCCACTCCCACCTACCCCCGGGCCGTCCGTTCGCACGCGGCGGTCGTGCTATAATATATTATAATGTGTTGCTGCACACGAACCCTCGCGGTCCCTTCTGTCTGTTGCGTGTCGCATTCTTTTTATAGCATGCTCTCTCTAGTAGCTCGGCTCTAACGCTATAAAGTTCTCTCACACAAATCCCTCGAGACAAATCGGAAATCCGCGGTTTTTTCGTTGTTTTTTTTTATTTTTCAGAGGCAGGTCGCGCGCAGGAGGCACAGCCCCAGGCCCCACAGGGCCTGTGCCGCACAGTGCTTTCGCGTTTAAGAACTGAATACGGACATCTCCGAAACTAGGGCTGGGAGGAGCGCGCGGCATCACGATAGGGATAGCGCACTTTGGGAGAGCGGAGTCCGGAGAGGGGTGAAATTCTGAAAAAACGTGCAGCACTTCTAGCCGACATCGACAAAAGTCACTCTCTAGCCCCGCGGCGAGCGGCCCCGCCGGAGGCGAAGGAAATTTTGCCATCTAGCGCTCTCTAACACACATTTTTGCACACAAATCGACACACCTCCAAACAAGCTCAATAAGGACTGGTCTTCACTGCAGCACGCCTCGAGCGAGTAATGCGTGTGTAGGCCAATATATTAGAGCTTCTCGCGCGCGCTCCTCAGCTGGCGGTCCGCAGGGCCGCCCGGGCCGGGCGAGAAGCGCAAGCCCGCCAGCCGCACCACGTGATTCACGATGATGAGCGTCTCGGCCTCGAGCAGCGTGTAGGAGCGAAGTCGAGGAGCGAAGCTTGCCCTCGCACTCGCATTGCTCGAGCCTGAGCCACTGCGCCTTGACCACGAGATAGCCCGCGGGGGGATGGTGTCGGTGTTGACGACCGTGTCCTCGGCCAGCGTGTACGCCTTCCCCTTGAGCACCGCCAGCCAGTAGAGTCCCTCGAGCGACTGCTCGCGCCGATCTGCGCGGCGACAGCGGCCTGGTAGGACACGTCCGGCCAAGTCGGTTACGGGGAGGGCTACTACGAGGTCTTTGCGCGGGGGTGGTCGGGCGCCAGGCGCCCAGTCGATTGCCGCATAGTTCGTCGTAGTAGCCCTATCATAAACCTCTTATTCACACCTTGCACTTTGAAAAAAGAAATATCCTACCTTTGTCGAAGATCCGGAGCGCGGAGGGTTTATCAGAGCATCACCCAGAGAGAGAGATTGTTGAAAACCTTGTCTCTCCCACTTTGGAGTTTGGTCGCGGTAATGGAGTCTGCGAGAGCCGAGGGCGAGGCGCGAGCGCGGCGCCTCTTTGTGGGTGTTGATGAGCGTTTCGTTGCGCATCCTATCGATCGAACAAACACAAAACGCTGTTCAACGAAAAAAACTCTGACATTTTACGAACTCCTTGGCGACGTGCGCGTCGCGTCGCCAAGGCTCTGCGACCTCGGTCGTACAATCAGCGACCTCGGTCGTACAATCGGCCGGCTGCGCGGGTTTTCGGCGAGTTTCCCGCGCACCGGCCACGAACTCGACTCGCACAGCAAAAAAATCCGGTGCTGCGCGCCGCTCCCACGCTTGACCACACACTCGCTGCACTGCTCAAAGCCAACCCTACCTCACTGGCCGCCTCCAACACTGTCCCGCGCGTCTCGCGCCCCAACTGACAACTCATCACTGTCCCTCGGACACCACTCTCCAGCCGCGCTACCTTCCCCCACCTACCGCTCTCGCACGACATCTCGACAATCCTCATATCTCCAGGCCCAAGACTCCTAACCACTGCCCCTGCTCGCCCAGGACCACGAAGCGCCGCCCGCGCGCCCACTGACCCCCCAATCAGCCCTCTTGCTGTCCCTCAATTGCCACCCGCCAGATGTACTGCCCTCGCCCACCCAATACTCTCACCCTCCTGACCCGGACAGTCCAGGTACAGGAAAAGCGGGGAGCGGGGCCCGATCCAAGGAGCACCCCGTCGGCCCGGGAGGGCTGTGAATTTCGGCGCGAGCGGAAGGCTGCCTGCAGACGCTCAGCCCCCGGCTGAGCTGCCGAATCCTCCCGGCTAATCCCCTGACCTGCCGCCTGAAACGGGACAACATTACACCACCTCACACACACTCCCCCCTCAGGGCTAAGCAGTGCGCAAGTCCACCCGAACTCTAGGCGAGGCATCGACCGCTCCTTTGGAATAGTGCCGTCAGTGGCTGCACTAGACGCCCATTAGATGGCGCGCGGCGCGGGCGGATGACTAGGGGAGAGAATGCGGAGAGACTAGCTCGCAGGTAGATGTGCTCAGCCAAGGGTACAGGGATGAGGGGAATGTGTCAGTGTGAGGGGTGCACCAACCGCAGAGCGTCGTGTTTTGCCTTTGAAAACTGAACAGTTTTTTTTCAAAACGCTGTTCAACAGCTTGGCGCATGAGCTACGAAAGAACAAAAGAAAGAAAAGTTCGTGAACGTGGAGAGTTTTTATGTGAACGTGCGTCTTCGCACTTCGGTCCGGGGTTGTGTTTTTGTGTGAACGTGGTCTGTGCGTCTTCGAACCCAGTTGTGCCATTCGTGGCTGGGTTCACAGCGATTGTAGGAAAATTGGGGGAACACTTGACGGTCGCGGCCTTCCGACTCGCGCCTCCGCCTCACTGGCACTATTGTAGCCCTGGCCGGTGCGCGTGCGGAGTTGAAGTTCCGGAGTGAAAATTCGAACGCGTTCTCTCACGGTGACCAAAAAATGTCCACCTCAGAGGCACCTCCGGAGGCAGGCGCCGCTGCACGCATGGCGACACAGCTCCAGCTGTCGAACTGACCCGCAGCTCCTCTCAGTGACAGCTCAGAGCGGGAACTGTGACGAAAGTTGACTGAGGCGGTTGTCAGGAATCATCATACGGATCACATGGTGGCTCTCTCATGACGGGAGACCGCCCGACCACTCCTGGGTGGCACTGCCACCGGTGTCGCTCGACGTCCTGTCGATCGACAGCGTGCCGACAGCGACACAGACCATGTGGGACGCGTCGAGTATCGACCTCTACTGCTTACCCAGCCTTCGAGTGTACCCTGGCTATGGTCCCACACCCACTGGTGTCCATCTCAGAGACCGCAGGAGGTCATGAGGGTGGGGGAGTGCCAACCCCACAATGCCTAAAATCCCAGCCCAATAAGGGTCAATTTTCTCTCTTTCGCCTTAGGGACCCTACTTGGGCTACATGAGCGCGGACGGGCAGCCCTCCTCCGAGGCGGCGCTGCTAATCACGGTCTCCGACCCGGAGAAGCACGGAACCTCAATCACCGCCGCGTTCGTCGACTACAAGCTCTCCACAGTGACGCAGCTCTCGCGGTACGCGGCGAAAGAGTTCTTCGTCCGGCGGCGCTATCGCGACTTCGTGTGGCTGCGCGACCGGCTGTGCCACGCCTTCCCTGGCTGCGTCGTGCCGCCGCTCCCCACCGTGGACTCGCCGCTCAAGGACGACCGCTTCTCGCCAAACTTCATCGAGCGGAGGCAGGCCGGGCTGCAGCTGTTCCTGAGGCGCGTGGCGGGGCACGAGCGGCTGCGGGAGTCCTCCGACCTGCAGACCTTCCTGGAGGCCAAGGTGTGGGAGCTGCAGACCGTCAAGAATGCGACGGGCTCCTCGTGGCTCGGCGCGCTCTTCGACGGCACCCAGGAGAGCGAGCCCGGCCGCAAGCCCTCTCGCCGCCCTCTCGCCGGGCTTGACCGTCGCACCCTGGCCCGCGTGTCCAGGAGAGCCTCAAGAGTGTGCAGTCGCTGATGGCGCACAAGGTGCCTGACGAGGAGGCGATCGAGCGCGTCCGCGCCTTCGCCGCCAACTACGCGACGATTGCCTCTGCGAGCGCGTCAAAGCAGCACGCAGCAGTGCGCACGCAGGCCGACATGGCCTCCGACCTGCGGCAGCTCGCGCCCGCCCTCGACATGCTCTCTCAGTCCGAGACGGAGCTGTCACTGCCTCTGACGCACATGGCACGCCCCCTCCGCGGGGCGGTGCGTGGCGGACGGCGCCGCCAGAGAACTGCTCCCGCCCGTCTGCAGGCGGCGGCGCTCGATCGAGTCAAGGAGCTGCACCTGGCGAGAGTGCAGGCGCGCAGGGGCGAGGGCCGGGGGCGCGGGCGCCGGTAGGGGGCGGTCGAGCGGCCGCCGCGCATCTCCTCTGCCGAACCGACACGAACGCCCCCCCCCGCCCTC